TCCTATTAGCTATACTGCATGGACAGTATTACCTCAATTTCTCTTCATAACATTGTGCATTAATTGATACATGTACATGTACATGTGTATTTATAGTCGTTTTCAGTTAATGATACATGTACATGTATTGCATGTTTTTTTTTCTTGCTTTTAGCTGCTTCATTGTAGTTAACTTATTAATTTGCTAACTTGATTTGTACACTTTACTAATCCATGAAAACTGTACCTAAGCAATGGCACACACAATTTGAAGGAAAAGTGATAGAAAAACAGGAAACATTTCCTATCACCATGTACATATGTATTTTTCACTTTATTTTCTCATTTCTTTATTTGTTTCTTTTCTTTCTTCCCTTTCTTCTTTCTATTTTTCTTCCCTCCTTTTCCCTCCTCCCCTTCATTCTATTCCTTTCCTTCTTTCCTTTCTCTATGTATATCTCTCCCTCCCTCTCTTTCTATTATAATCTCTCCTATATGTTAGGAAGGTTTGAGTCTCTTCATTATCTTCTCTTTGATGTCCTCCTCTTAATTAAATGAATGAGACCTGACATCCTCCAGAAAGGAACAGTATTGATCCTCTAGTATCTCTTGTATTGAAGAACCAGGAGACCACATGTGACAGCCAACCTCTCCCTCGTCCCTCAAGATCCCCTCGTCACCATACAAGTGAGAGATCATGTGACTTTTGATGATAGTCATGTGATGTTGTGTAAGTAAGGATGAGGAGTGGGTGGAGTGAGGGGAGGTGTGGTGAGAAAGGAAGTTGTGATGATGAAAGCTATGCTACCTCCTGAGTAAGAATATTAATGTGTCTTTTAATAAATAGGTTAAATTTATGATTGTGACCTAATATTTTTGTTAATTTTGTTATTTTTGTTAATAATTTGAGCTGTTTCCGACTAATATTTTTTGAGTTATGAGCATTATTAGAAATAGGCCAATTTTTGAAAAATACCCAAGGCTATAGCCCATGCTTTTTTGTAAAAAATGGCTCTGAAATCACCCCCAATTTTTATTACATTTCCTGATACATATTGATGTCCTGATGCTGTGTAGAAAATTTGAACTGTTTCTTACAAATAATTTTCGAGTTATGAGCATTTTTAGAAATAGGCCAATTTTTGAAAATTATCCATGGCTATAGCCTATGCTTTTTTCTAAAAAATGGGTCCGAAATTACCCCCAATTTTTATTACATTTTCTGATACATATTGATGCC